TAGGTAGATTAATTTGGGTAGAATCGCCATTTTGGATATATTAATTTTTCCAGTCCAGGAACATGGGATGTCCTTCCACTTTTTTAATGTCATTTTCAATTTCTTTTTTAAACTTCTCATAGTTTTCCTTGTGGAGGTCTTTAACTTCTTTGATTAGATTTATCTCTAAGTATCTTATACTTTTAGTGGCTATGGTAAATGGAATAACTTTTATCAGTTCTATCTCCGTCTGCCTGTTGTTTGTATACAGAAATGCTATAGACTTCTGTATATTAATTCTGTATCCTGCAGCTTTACTGTATTCATGCATTACTTCCAGAGATTTCTTCATGGAAATCATTGGGTCTTCTATGTACACAATCATGTCATCTGTGAATCGAGAGAGTTTCACTTCTTTTTTCCTATTTGAATGCTGTTTATTTTTTCCTCTTTCTGATTGTGTTGGCAAGGACTTCCAGTATTATGTTGAAAAAGTAGTGGAGAAAGTGGGCATCCTTGTTTTGTACCTGTTTTTAGTGGAAAAGCTTTCAGCTTTTCTCCATTCAGGATAATATTCGTGATGGGTTTTTCATAGATAGCTATTATTGTGTTGAGAAATGACCCTTGTATGCCAATTTTGCTGAGCGTCTTGAACATAAAGTGATGTTGTATCTTATCAAATGCTTTTTCTGCATCAATCAATATGACCATATGGTTTTTGTCTTTTTTCCTGTTAATATGGTGCATTACATTTACAGTTTTGCATATGTTGAACCAACCTTGCATTCCTGGAATAAAGCCTACCTGATCATGATGTATAATCTTTTTTTATAAGTTGTTGGATATGGTTTGCTAGTATCTTGTTGAGAATCTTTGCATCTATATTCATCAGAGATATTGGTCTATAGTTTTCCTTCCTTGTCCTGTCCTTATCTGTTTTGAGGATAAGGGTAATAGAGGCTTCATAGAATGAATTAGGGAGAGGTTCACCCTTTTGGATCTTTAGAAATAACTTGAGCAGAATAGGGGTTAACTGTTCTTTGAAAGTTTTATAGAATTCAGTGGTGAATCCATCAGGGCCAGGGCTTTTCTTTGTTGGGAGGTTATTTATAACTGATTCGATCTCCTGGCTTGTAATGGACCTATTTAGACTTTCTATATCCTCCTGGCTCAATTTTAGTAGACCATACGTGTTCAGGAATTTGTCTATCTCATCCGGATTGTCTTGTTTTTTGGTATATAGTTGTTCATAGTATCCTCTGATGACGTTCTGTATTTCTACTTTGTGTGTTATCTTTCCTCCTTCATTGCAGATTTGATTCACCTTGTTCGTTTTTCTCTTCTTAATAAGTCTCACTTATGGTGTATCGATTTTATTTATCTTTTCAAAGAACCAGCTTTTACTTTCATTTATTTTCTGTGTAGTTCACTTACTTTCTATTTCATTTATTTCTGCTCGGATCTTTATTATTTCCTTTCTCCAGGAGTTTTTTGGATTATTTTGCTGTTGCTTCTCCAATTCTCTTAGGCATGATTTTAAGTGATCCGTTTGCCTTCTTTCCGTCTTCCTCTTATGAACTGTAATGGCTATAAACTTTCCCTTATGACTGCTTTTGTGGTGTCCCAAAGATTATGGAAACTCCTGTGCTTGTTATCATTACCTTCCATGAATCTTTTGATTTTGGACTTTATTTCATCAGTATTTGTGTAGTCATTCAGTAGTAGATTATTTAGTTTCCATATACCTGAGTATTTTTGAGGATTTCTCTTGAAATTAAACTCAAGTTTAATTCCATCATGTTCGGAGAAGATGCTGGAGATAGTTTCTATGCCTTTGAATCTGTAGAGGCTTCCTTTGTGCCGTATGATGTGTTAAATCTTCGAAAAGGTTCCATGTGGGAGTGAGAAAAAATTGTATCTCATGGTTTTTGGATGGAAAATTCAATAGATGTCTGTTAAGTCCATTTCATTTATGGTATCATTCAGATCCTTTATCTCTTTATCTATTTTTTTTCTTTATGATCTGTCCCGAGGGGATAGTGCAGTGTTGAGGTCTCCAACAATTGGTGTATTGCAGTCTATCTCACCTTTTAGATCTAACAGCCTTTCCTTCACATATTTCGGTGCTCCTGTGTTAGGCACATAGATGTTTATAAGAGTTATATCTTCTTGATCTATTGATCCTTTTACTACAATATAGTGCCCTTCTTTGTCCCTTCGAACAGTTTAAAGCCTATTTTGTCAGAAATTAGTATCGCAACTCCAGCTCTTTTTTGGTTCCCATTTGCATGGAAAACCTTTTTCCAACCCTTCACTTTCAGTCTATGTATGTCTTCATCGATGAGGTGGGTTTCCTGTAGGCAACAGATAGAGGGTCTCTGTTTTTTAATCCATTTGTCCATTCTGTATCTCTCCGTTCACATTCAATGTTATTATCGATGTAACTGGATCTGTCGTGACTTTTAGGTTGGCCATTGTCACAGCAGCCTTTTATTCTTTTTTTTTCCTCTCTGTTAGCTCTTTAGTTTTCCTGGAACAGTACTTTCTTCAGCATTTCTTGAAGAGGTGGTCTGGTTCTGACAAATTCTTTCAGGTCTTGTTTGTCTGAGAAGATTTTAATCTGTTTTCTCCATATGAAGGATAATCTTGCAGGATATAATAATCTTGGTTAAAATTGTTTCTCACTTAGCACTTTCAATACATCTTCCCATTCTTTCCTTGCTTGCATTGTTTCC